ATAAAATTACAGTAATACAGGCGACAAATGCAGTGAGCTGTGTTTTTTTTTGCGTCAAGTTTTGAAGCAGAGTTTAGTACAGAATTTAATACAGAAGCCCCTTCCTTCGTAAAAGCAAATCACATAATCTTCTTGTCATATAAAGTCTTCTCATATAGTAGATACGAATACGAAGCATTTAATTACTATGCATCATCTCGAATTTCTAAAAGTGTTAGTTCAAGTATTACAATAGACTTTTTTGATCCTTTTTTAAAAATAGGTTGTAATCAAAATTGATTTTTTTTAATGCATACAATTCCATATTTAGTATTATTTCATTGAACAATGACAACCGTTAATTTCCGAATTTGCTTTTTTGTACTATAAGTAAATAAGGTTTATATAATTTAGCGCACATGCGCTGTAACCACCCATCTGATCAACCAATCAGATCGTGTAACGCGAAATCGAAAAAATAGCGATGTTTTTAAAAAAACACTTGTCGCTCAAAATCTCGCTTATGAAACTACCATTCGTATACTAACAAAAAAAATTCCTTGCAAAATTTTGGATTAGAACCTTTTTGCTAAAGCGCTCTACCCTAACCCACTAACCCTAACCTAACACTCACCCTAACCCTAAACTAACGAATTAATTTTTTGTTTTGATTTCATGTTACACCAGATCTTATGAGTTGCGTCACAGTAAATTTCGTAATATGTAGCAAAGCAAAACAATAATAAACTAAACTGTAAATATATTATGTATTTACCTAAACTCTAAATAAGCATCCACTAAATAAATATATCTGTATAATGTTATGGGATGCTACAAATGGTCAGGATAGCACATGTTATGGGATACTACAAATGGTCAGGATAGCACATTGTATGAGTGATTTAACTCTATTCATAATGTTGATGTTATTGATAGCAGTAATATAATTAAAAATTAATATAAATATCTATGATTTTTAACGAAATGTGCACATACAAGTTTCAATTTTTTAAAATAAAATTTATTGAATCGCTTATAACATCAAGCTTAAAATGAATCGACCAAATCAAATCAGTACCAAACACTCTGTTTCAAAATTCCAAGAAAGCCTATGGTTCGAATATTGTAGTGATCCAAACTCTTATAATTACAATGTAATTTCTATTACTGAGGTGGACAAAACTAAATCTATTCAAGAAATCGTTTTTGTCGCTAATAACTTGATTTCAAGGCATGCGCTTTTACGAAGTACCTTTCATGATAGGGATGACGACGGGAAGCCCACAAAATGCTACCGAAGAGAGTATCCAGTGGATCACGTGAATAATGTTGTTCATTTGATGATGACTCCCGTTGAAGATAGAGATAATTTAGTTAAAAAACCCTTTGAACTTGAAAAATTATACCCTATTCGATTTTATCTTTTTGTAGATCCAATTAAATCAGATTATAAAATCTATATTGTTTGCCATCATATTGTTATTGATGGTTTAGGCAATTACAATTTATTGCTTGATTTTTATAATTTGTTATCTGGTAAATCCTTGCCAATGCTTAATGGGCCAACATTCGACGATTTTATTACCCAACATGAGGAATGGCTTTATTCAAATGATTATAAACTCAAACAGAAATTTTGGCGTGATCAAATTGATTCAACCAAAAATATTGTATGGCCAATACAATTTTCATCTGTTCAGCAAACTTTAGAAGATAAACAAAGTACACTTCAATATCAAGTTTTTCATAATAACGTTGAAGAATTGAGAGCCTTAGGTCATAAATTTAAAGTTACCTGGTTTGTGGCAATGTTTTCAGCCGTATGGATCACTTTATCATCATTTGTCGATTTAAAAAATGCCAATATCTGGCTTCCATTCTCTGCACGTTCTATGCCGGTGAATCATGATAAAAATGCATTATCTCAACTTGTCGGTCACTTCGCTAATAACATGCCAGTTCATCTAAATATTGATAAATTTAATTCAATTGGTTTGCATTCAACCATTCAACAAATAGCAAAATTAATATCTACCGCAAAACAAAATGAAATGTACCCGTTTATTGATTTAGCAAGATATGCACAACAAACATTAAAACGTAAACTTGTTCAACAAATTATTATTACAAAAACACCAAAAATGCCTATGAATTCTCATTTCAAAACTTTTCGATCTGATGTAGAACTTTGGTTTGATTTTAGTGAACAATCAGATAATACGATAATCTTTAACATTAATTATAACTCAACTGTTTTTAATACTAATAATATTAAATTAATGGGTGAACAATTTTTAAAAGTAGTAAATATAATGAAAAATTATGATGACTTAGAATTAAAAATTCCAAAACTTTTAAATGATCAAGATAATTCAACATCAATCAAATTAATATCTAAATTCGAAAATGATTTATCAGTACCACAATCATTTCCAACAATCCAAGAACTTTTTCAACAGCAAGCAAAGAAATTACCAAATCATTTAGCATTATATATGGGTGAACTTGGATTATCAATGACATATAAGCAATTAGATAAGAAGAGTAATAAAATTGCTCGATATCTTTTTCAAATTGGGGTTAAAGTAGAAACTCTAGTTGCACTTCATTTAAATCAAGACATGTATATGATTCCTTGGATCTTAGGCATTCTTAAAGCTGGCGGTGCTTATATTCCTATTGATAAAACATATCCTGCGGAAAGAAAGAATTATATAATTAAAGATTCTGAAGTTTCATATTTTATTACTGATGAGGAATGTAGTGATTGGATTGAAAACTTTTCTGGTAAATTAATTAAATCAAATACAATGGATATCACCAACCAATCAGATGACATAGTCGAAACAGTATGTTGTGGAGAAAATCTTTGCTATGTTATGTACACTTCGGGTAAGAAGTTTAGTTTTTACGACATTTATCTT